CAGCCCTGGAATCCTGACAGCCCATCTGGTCTTCCTCTGGTATTTTTTTTCCAGTGATTGAGCTGATATCTGGATGGAATGTTGAGGTTCTGGAGAAAGGGGAAGTGCGGCTCTGGCTGGAGGTTGAGAAGCTCTCCCCAGAGGCGGAGTTGCACCTGATCTTCAATGGGAAGGAGCTTTCGAGCACTCCGGTGAGTTCTCTTTCATTTGAGTTGGTCACAGGTCAGGCTGAGATGCCAAAATAAATAAATAAATGAAGTAGTTACCAGTGCCATCCTAAGTAGAGATATCGTCTTTTAAATCCACTCACTTCTCCACACATAGGTTCAAACTACACATTACATTTAACATGTGAATCCCAACAGAGACTGGCAACAGAATGCCAGCAATGAGTTCCAAGAGGGTACATTATTTTAGAAGAATAAGAAGAGATTGGATTTATACCCCGCCCTTCACTACCCAAAGGTGTCTCAGAGCGGCTTACAAACTCCTTTCCCTTCCCCTCCCCACAACAGACACCCTGTGAGGTAGGTGGGGCTGAGAGAACTCTTGACAGAAACTGCTCTTTTTCAAGAACAGCTGTGCCAGAGTTATGGCTTGCCCAAGGTCATCCAGCCAGGTGCAAGTGGAGGAGTGGGGAATCAAACCCGGTTCTCCCAGATTAGCGTCCGCGCACTTAACCACTACACCAAACTGGCTGCAGAGGGCTGATTTGGATTGGGACTGTGGCACAGAGAGGGAGAAGGGGCTCAAGCCTTTCCCACCCCCGCCCTATTTTCCTGACCCAGAACAGCTCTGGGAAGTGTTATTTGCCCCATGGGAGGCTCACTTGCATACCCTTTGGTGCCCTCCCCCTGTGCGGCAGGTCCTGGTCCACATCAGGCCTCTGCAGCTCATGAGAATTGAGTTTCCATGGGGAAGTCGCATCTGACATATGCCTACAAGTCTCTGTGGTGATTGTGTGTTGTTTGGGCGTTAGAAAAGTATAACCTAGGATGGCGCTGTGACACTCTCATCAGGAAAATGGAGATCCCCTCCTGGGCCTACAGTTGCCAGATTTCAAGAGATTTGGGGTTGGCGTCTGGGGGGGGGATTGGGTTTGGGACAGGGAGGGACCTCAGTGGGGTATGATGCCATCGGGTCCACCGTCCAAAGGAGCCATTTTCTCCTGGGGAACTGAGCTCTGTTGCCTGGAGATCAGTCGTAACTCCAGGAGATCTCTCAGTCCCTTTCCACAGGGAACCTGGGAACTACAAACCCACCCAGGACAGAAACTGTGTTGGGGGGCCTAGTCCAGGTAGCCTCTTGGTGCACTTCAAACCTTGAAAGTGATCTCAAGCCAGCCCTTTCTGAATGGAGTAGAGAGGTACAAGGCCGAAAATATCTAACTGTAGTACTGCTTTACCTCAGAATACTCTTGGGGTTATAAACGTCTGTGTTAGGAAGATGCTGCAGAAAGCAACTCCCTACAAAGTGCAACACTGGAATACAAAATATGTGGCAGTTTCTTTACCAAACTGCACCTAGGGTTGCCAGACCCCCGGTCCCAGCAGGGGGCTTCTTCCCGCCGTCAGCCAGCTGACCGGTGGGGGGGAAGCTCTGCCCCCAAGACCAACCACCCGGCTGCTCCTACTATAAGATTTAAAGGGCCCTCCAGCTGGCCCTTTAAATCTTGCAGGAGGGAGGGAGGGAGGGAGGAAGAGGGGTGGCTGTGCTGCTTGGAGTGTAGGTGCCCACAGCCCCCCCACCCCCACCCCGCTTCTTCCTAATTTAAAGGGACCTTTTAAATGCTGCTGGGAAGAGGCAGGGTCACACATCTGCACTCCAAGCTGCAAATTCATGCCTTGGAGTGCAGGCCCACGCAGCCTCCCCTCCCCACCTCTTCCCAACAGCATTTAAAGGGACCCTTTAAATGCTGTTCAGAAGAGGTGGGGGCCGCACATTCATGGCTTGGAGTGCAGGCATCTGCGGGGGGAGGCTGCCTCTTGCCAAAAGCATTTAAAAGGTAAAGGTAAAGGTTCC